AAGACAAAACCGCTCACCCCAGACGAAGTTCTCCAGTTGGCGATCGCCCTCCCCGATCAGGGCCAGCACAAATCTGCCAACGGTGGGGTCACTCGTCTTCGAGCCTCTTGTCACTCCTGGCCCTGGAGCATCAAGGTGATCACTAAGTACATTCTCCAGAGAGTTCCTGACTCTTCACGTCGTTCGCCGTCGTCTACAATCAAGAGGCCAAACCGCATCGGGATTCGGGCAACGAGCCGGTCTCAAATGTGGTCATCAAGCTAATGGCGTTCGACGGTGGAGACTTGTGGATCGAAGATCCTTTGGGCCAGGATAAGCAGGTTATCGACGGTCGTTCGATAGCCGGCGTGAACACCGACTTCGTCGACGACAAGATCGTTTTCAATGCCAAAGAAGCTCTGCACATGACCCTGCCTTGGCAAGAAACGCAGATAGTTCTGGCCGCCTATTCCGTGCAGGGCGTCGATCGCATCCCTGCCGATGAGTTTAAGCAGCTGTTGCAGCTCGGTTTCAAACCGGCTCCGGTTCATACAGGTGATCACGCCGAGGAGCCGTGGCAAGTTCCGACCTTCGCTCTCGTCACTCCGGGCGCCGATCGTAAACGACCTCACGGTGCACCGGTCAAGGTTCGTGATCATCGCCAGCGCTCCTCCGGCAAGAAGGCGATCGCTGCAGGCTACCAGATGAAAAAGTCTGTCGTGGCTCCTCTCAGTATAAAACCGAGACATCGTGGAGGCGATCGCCTTCGCTTTGGAAGCCAAGCACCCGTTCACTGAAGATGCTACCATTGATCATGACTTGTTGGACGTTCTCCAGCAGATCGTGGATGATCCGGCTCGTGTATATGCGATCGCCGATCCTCTTTGCTTCAACACTGGGAGGCTCGTGCTCACGATCTCCTCGGAAAGTCCGACGATATGCTCAAACAAGTGCCGGAGCTCATCTGCGTAGACTCCTCCGGGGTACCACTGATGATCAGCCAGTAACTCTTGGCTCGTTCTTCCACGTGGCTCTCTGGCGCGAGCTCATGACTGCTGCCAACTGTGCTGATGTGGACCTCCATGTCGGGCACGCCGAAAGTCGGCGATATCGCCTCTTCTTACAGTTGGAGTGCCGATCGCAAACCTCACGCAGAACATCTGTCGGTGGAGTCCCTTCGCTCCAGGGCCTGGGAGTTTCGATCGAGGTTCTCAAAGCTATTCGAGGGGCTCCCGTGACGGAGCACTCCTCCCAGGTCTGGGAAAGCACGCTCGAAGATGTAGAAGAAGGCGCGGCTGTTGGCCCGTTCTTCGACCCGGCCGAGTTTCCGCGTTTGTGGGAGATATCATTGGATCCCCACACAGGGTTTCGAGGTCGTGCAGAAGAACAAGGTCCGCGGAGTAAACAGCGCCACTTCGAATGGGATCAACATGGCGACGGTCGTCACGGAGAAGCTCGAGCTCCCTTCCACAGACGCGAACGTGGCGGTGATCAAGTGGCTGCGCTCGCGGCTGCCCAAGAAGCCCCTGCGCGGCTGGGTTCTGGATGCGCCGGGCCTATCGCCAGGTGCCGATCTCCCCGGCCCATCGCAAGCGGAGCGTGGTAGCGTTGAAGGATCCCTCGACGGGGAAAGTCGCTTACTTCGTGATGGTCGGATATTATCTTACAGCCGGCGCCCATGGATCCCAGGCCGACTGTACCTGGATATGTTCCTCCTGGCGTGAGCAAAGCGAAAGCGACTCCCGATGCTGCCTTTCGGAAGGCCGAGGCAGAACTGATCCGACTCCTCGGTGCCGAGCCCCTCGACGACCCGATCGAAGACTTTTAATTTTGTCGTGGGAAAAATCGCTCATCTGATGTGTTCGATGGGATTGATGTTGCGATCTTTGGCGCCGAATGCCAATGCGCACCCCCGGCGATCGGAGTTCCGTTCGGACTCGTGAAGATCGAGTGAAGTTTTGATCTGACTTGTGGCCGACTCCCACGTTGCGGTCGCACGAAAAAGGAATGCCGACTGCTGACTTTCAGCGAGTGAACCGAGCGGGATAGATCGTGGAAACTGATATGTATATATATATATATATGTATATGTTTGTATGTATGTGTATATATATATATGGTCACCCCCCCCCCTTGACAGACCATCCCCTTCAAAACATCGCTCCCACCGGCGTGTTCGTGCTTTTTCCGGGGTATCGAGTTTGAGCCCTCCGATCGTATCTGTGGAACCACCAAAAGATTGAGACCCGTTGACAGACCATGCCCTTTCAACTCAGTCGTAGCGCATGGTCTGTGATCGGGGGGAGGTGGCACTCAGCTTTCAAAAACTCAATTCCAAAAATTCCAAAAATTCCAAAATTTCCAAAATTTCCAATAAGTCCGCCCTTATGTTTTGGAAAAATCCTGTCGGCTAGGTCGGGCCGTTTTGGAAATTTTGGAAATTTGGGAATTTTTGGGAATTTTGGGAAATTTTGGGAAATTTTGGAAATTTTGGAGATTTCGGAGATTTCGGAGATTTTGGAAATTTTTGAAATTTTGGAATTTTTGGAAATTGATTTTCAATGGGCTGATTGTGACCCATCGGATGACAGACCATGCACTACGACTCACTTGCAAAGGCAAGGTCTGTTTAGACGATTGTCAGTGTTTATCTATTTATATAAATTGGTACTCCTACGAATACTATTACCAATACTCATTCTGACATTGATCATTTGCTGACTACCCAAGCTAATACCAGCATTAACACTAATATTTACACTTTTTTAAGCCAATACGAATAGGCACCATACAAATAACAAATACTAACAATGATTAATACTGAAGTTCATACTCCTACGCATATCAATATTTATGCCCATATTGGTAGTAGTGTATTTTAATTCCAATACCAATACACACCTGCATATACCAATGTACATAAATATACATACCACTATATTAAAGTACAAATACACTAGCTCATGCATGTATTTATCTGTTAGTATTTTCATGTAATCAGGAGTAATACTAATATAAGACAAACGTTCATGCGAATGCATAACCTCATTTTAATATTAGCACTCGCACTAGCACTATTACTAATACCAATCACACTGTTTATACCAACACCAAGATTTACATAAGTATTGATACTCCTACGGATACTACTGCGTATACTCTTATGCTGTTAACAGTAATGCTGTCACCAATACTAATACTGACATTGATATCTTGCTGAATATTCAAGATAGTACCAGTATTAATACCATTATTAACACTTATACTAAGGCTACTGCGACTATGGATAATCCTAATACGAATATTAACATTAACACTCCTACGAATACCAATAGTCATATTCATATTGATGTGAAGACTAATACCATTACAAAAGACACGTGCATATGCTAATGCACACCAGAACACATACCATTAACTTAAAATGCCGATATGTATCAATGCATTCATGTACTGATGTTTTAGGACAAGCATATACCCATATACCAATGTAACAATACACTACTTGTTAATGTGTGAATATACTATACTAGTATGCTATTATACTAGTATGCTACTATACTAGTATGCGACTACTGTAATATGCAAGTATACCGACGTGGCAGGTTAGTGTACTAATATGACAACATACTGATACACTTATAAATCTTTAGACAATACACGTATATTGCATATACTAGTATACTAATACACTAATGTACGAATATACTGGTATGTTAATATACTAATATATTAATACAGCAATATACTAGTTTACTCATGCATCAGTTGTACTAAAGTATTACATCTACGAATATGCAAGTATACAAATATGTTGCCTCTCGAACACACCAATGTGTTGATATACTAACCTGCTGATATACGAAACTATCAGAATAGTAACATATCGAAACTAACTCTAATTTTGATACCAATACTAGCACCTCTGCCATTATTAACTGATATTAAACCCAACATGAAGACTGATACTAATGCTGGCAGTGGTACTATTACTGGCATTGACACTGGCACTAACACTAAGACTAGAACGAAGATGAACATTAACATTAATGTATACTTACTACTGTCGATATATATATATATACACATACTTACAGTAAGCACTAATACTATTGCTGATACGAATACTAATACCAATATTAATACTCATACTCATCCTATATCAATGCTACCACAAAACTCATAACTCACGTGTCGCGCATCTGGTCCATGCGTCCTCAGTACATGGCATGTTAAAAGTATACTTGGTATATGTACTGTAAAGGATTTGCTTTACAGATTGTCGTCATGTGTGGTGTGTTTAGATGCAATACCTCAGCCTAGTCACCGAACGAGAGTATACTATCACAAGGGCATGGTCTGTCAACGGGGGGGGGTGAGCATATATATATATATATATATGTCTAGGTCTATGTATGCATGCATCTATGTATGTATGTTTGTTTGTGTGTGTATGTTGGGGTGTGTGTGTGTGTATGTATGTGTGTACGTACTTATGTATGCATGCATCTATGCATCTCTGTACATACCAGGCTTTGTTCTGGTACGAGCGAAAGAGCTGGCCGTTTTTTCCTAGTCTTAGCCTCAGACTGACCACTAGGTGAGACAGTTTTCGAGGTACCGGAGAGGTACAGGGGATGGGGGCAATGTGTGTTTTGCATGGTATTCGGCAACCTAGCTTAAGAATACTAGGTATCAGCGACCGTCTGGAGGTACCGGACAGGCATGTACAGTGAGAGGTACTGGAGGTATGCGCAATGTTTGTTTGTTTTTGCAATGTACTATCAAGCTGTGTTGTCCTAGCTCAAGAGTATTAGCCACCGGAGGCTGAACAATTCGTGTTTTTGCAGTGCAAGTACAAGTCATGTTATTTCATCTTAAAGTGTCCAGTACAAAAACCCCGGTTCTTGAACCCTGAACCCTTTTCTCATATGGATCTAGGCGTTAATGCTTTCGTCCGTGGACGATGACAGTTTCTCTATGGGGTTTGCGATTGCCTACAAATTGGCTATCATGTCTACATGTTGAGCCAATTCGCGGGCAATGGCAACTCGGTGGCATTTGCCATTGCCCAGGAAGCGGTGAACGTTTCTGCATGTGCCGCTGCCCACGAGTTTTCTGACATTTCTACACATTGAGCCAGTTCGTGCGCAATGGCACGCCCGCTTCGTGGGTAATGGTAAACCGTGCGAGTTCCGAATTTTAGGGTTTGTGTTTCGGGTCTGGGTTCCGGGCCGGGATTCAGAGGTCGGTTTAGGGTTCAGTGTTCCGGGTTTTCGGGTTCAGGCTTATGGGTGAGGGTTCTGGGTGCAGGATTCCGGGTCAAAGGTGCTGCATCCAGGGTTCCAGGTTCAGGTTTCCGGCTTTCATCGGCTTTCTGCCTGTCTGTCTGGATGTACGTGTGCATGCATGTGTGGTGTGCCTATGTGTGATATATAGATACATCGAAAGATCGACAGGTAGATAGATGTAGAAAGATGGGTGGATAAATAAATAGATATGTGCATGCTCTCGACATACATATCCAGGCACAGAATATCATGAGCAGATATGCGCTTGTTTATTGCATGCATACAGGCATGTACAAGCATCTGAGCCAGAAGGCCATCCCCGAGATTCCCGCGGAGCAGAGCGACCACGCCGGATCAAGGCCAGATTTGGATCTTTCTAGATTAACTTTCGGGAATTCTGTATGTTACACAGGAAGCTGGCGCAGTGCCCGTGTGGACGCGGTGTTTCGGTCGTTTGTTCTGCTCTGCCCGCCGAAAAGGTTACAGGTCCAATGTTTAGTTGACCCGGCACCAATGCTCCGGCCCCAACGGAAATCTGCAATGCCGCATATTCTGTGCCGATAGTTCCCAGATGTTTCGGGTCCATGACTGTACTCCGACCTTCCAGCCCGCTTCATTATCGACGGCTGGGTAATAGTGGGTGGGCGATAAGTGCCTTTGCATGCCCCCGAACGCGTGATGTCCGCTGTCATCCCGAAGATGCATTGTCGTGCCAGGACCGTGTGAGCTTGCATTAGGTTTCAACTGTGCCAGTGACACGACACATTTCGTTGTGCGCATTGAACAGGAACTGCAGCCTGGATCCACGAGATGCTTGATCCGGCTTACAGTTTGAATGCGAAGGTGTCAAAGTTGCCGAGGCCCAAGCCACTGCGAGCAACCTATCCGGAAGGACCCTTGCGTCCAGATTGGTCAGGTGATGTTGTCTGGGTACATGAGATGCTAGACTCGATTTATAGTTTTACTTCGAAGGAGGCGAAGCTGAAAGCACAGCCTATGGGAGCAAGATATCCCGAGAGCTGCTTGCAAGTCAAGTCGCCAGGCGATGCCACCTGGGTACACGAGATGTTGGACTCAGCTTACAGCTTCACATCAAAGGAGGCCAAGCTGAACGCACGGCCTTTGGGAGCAAGATATCCCGAGAGCTGCTTGCAAGTCAAGTCGCCAAGCGATGCCACCTGGGTACACGAGATGTTGGACTCAGCCTACAGCTTCACATCGCAGGAACCGATAATGCAATTCCTGGCGCTTCGAAGAACATGCCCTGGCCCTGAACGGCCTTTGCAAGCAAATTGGACTGGCGTTGGGGGAGGATTGATGCCGGTTCACAACAGCACCCCGGCCTGGAGCCAGTCTCGCAGCAAACGGATGCCGGGCTCTGTTTCAATGTCACCTGGGCCCGGAAGCTATGGGAATCCAGAGTACCTCAGTTTTGAGAAGTACATGCCAGACAGGCTGCAGAAGGTCAAGGATCGAAAGGAGCGTGGCAGGAGGATCGCGGAGCGAGCTGTGAGTCGCGAAGCGGAAAGGCAGGGCCTGGCAAGACCCCGCTCCGCCCGCTCCCGCTGAAGTCAGCGTCCTGGCTGGCTGGACACCAGTAAAAAAATGCCTGCCTTCTATACTTCTATACTGAGTTGTAAACTGCATCAAACCATTGCAGAAACACAGCGACCCTACAACCCGAAGCTCATGAAAACAGTTAGATGTTTCGTACATCTGAGGCCTGCAGGCTGCAGCGAGGGTTCTGCAAAGCACTGCGAGGGCTTCCACTGCATCGGAAGCTTTGTCCTGTCCGATGGGTCCAGAGCTCTAAAGGCCTCCAGCATTCAAGCTCTACTCTACCCGAAGTCGAGCGGCAAGGGTGCAAGCTCCGGCCTGCTCCTCGAGTGTGCACTAAGTTGGGGACACGCTGACGTGCGTGGCTACCAGAAAGGGAGGGAGCGGCGGCAGCAGCGAGCAGAAGAGGGCGCAGCGGCCCTACACGTCCGGCTCGGCGCGAACAGCCTTAGGACCTTAGGAGCCCTGGGCAGACCAAAGAATCGTCTGCGGTTTCTCTCGAAGCGGATGCCGTGCCAGTGCTTTCGCGACGAAACGGTGCGCGGGGCTGAGTCGGAGATGCCCCTTAGGAAGTCAGATAGGCCCTCCGGGGTACCATGAGTAAAGGAAGTTTGTAGCGTGGAGTCTAAGAATGAGCCGTGCGTGCTCCTTGAGCTCGAACCGTAACCTGTGCTGTCACTTGGGGTGGGGTGTTGCAGTTGAAGGCCTCAGCATTGCTTGCAGCATGTGCTGGGTTTTGCAGGAGAGCTCGACATGCATCGACTTCAGAGGCTCAAGGCCACCTCATCCGAAGGATTGGTGGTTGTCCTGCCTGTTTGGAGCTTGAGTACCAGCTGAGCCTTCCAGTCGCCTATGGGATGGGCAGCAATGCACAGATGGTGTAAATCCGGAAGTCTGCGGTATGCAGAGTAAGATCCTTAATCAACAACTCTAACCGTCTGACCTAGGAGGCAGCACTGTGATGTAGAGTCGGTGGGCCCTAAGCCTGATGCTCGCATGTCCGTGGCCTGGCTGTTGCTCTGCTGCTGGAGCATGGCTCGAGGAGAGTGGAGCCGCTTGACGGACCTGGCGGACGCCGGCCTTGTCCGCCCCGCGGCACGGTCCGAGCACGTTGCAGCCTGGGACGAAGTTAATCAGGTGCTGCTGATCCATGGAGGAAGCAACCTGGAAGGCGACTTGTGGGCTTTCGACGCCGCGTCGGAAGCGTGGACCCGCACGGTGACGGCCGTGGCGCCGGCAGCTCGTGCTGCACACGCAGCTGGCTGGGATGCTGCCAATCATGCACTTTGGGTGCATGGCGGGCACAACAGCCAAGCAAAGACTTGGTTTCGGGATGTGTGGAGATTTCAGTCTGGAGCCTGGACGCTCGAGTTTGACGGTGCAGGGCCTTCCGGAAGGCAAGCACATGTGGCTGTTTGGGTTTCGAGCACTTCCTCTCTTTGGGTGCATGGCGGCTGGACCGGCAGTCGCCGCTTGTCAGACTTGTGGAGCTACAATCACCTGGCTCACGGATGGCAGGAGCTGGCTCCCGGCACTTTCGGCGCGGTGCCATCGGCACGCTCGCATCATGTTGCAGTGTGGGATGGGACCGGCCAGGCGCTCTGGATGCACGGAGGCTACGGTGACTCCTTGCTCGGAGATCTGTGGACTCTGGATGCTTCCAGCCTAACATGGACTGAAGTGGTCTCTGATGGAGGCCCATCCGCGAGGTCAGGCCATGCTGCGGTGTGGGATGACGCAGGCCGCAGGCTTTGGCTGCACGGTGGCAACGACGGCTTTCTGAAGCGGGAACTCTGGAGATACGAGTCCGGCAGCAACACCTGGAGTGAGATTCATACGCAGGTTCCGTCCGGACGCTGGTCGCAAGTCGCCGTTTGGGATAGCCTGAACCAGGTCATCTACATGCACGGGGGGTTCAACGGCAGCCTGTGCGGAGACCTTTGGAAGTTCTGGGTCAAAACGTCCACGACGTCCGTCAGCACCAGCACCGTCACCCTGACTTCCAGCACAACAGCAACACATACGACATTCACCGACACATCCGGCCAAAGCATTGCTGCCATGTCCAATGTTGGCGCGACTGTAGAAACGGCCGATCGTGTCGTCGCCTGGGTCTTGCTTGTCATCTCGGGTTGCATCCTTCTGTCAGCTTGTATCGGCTGTTGGATTGTGAGACGCCCTTGTCGCGTGGTGGTCGTTCCTTTCGTGTATCACGCAGGGTGTTTGTCGGAGCCTCAGCCGTCGAAGCTGCCGGACAAGAAAGAGCCAAATTCAGCTCCAGCTTTTGCTGGAACTTGCCACAGATCACCATGCCCGCCCCTGGTTGTTCGCTGTTGCTTCAGAGGTTCTCCCGCGACCGCCCGCAGGATAAGGCTAGTGCCGTGGCCGCCAATGTTCCCACCAACAACAGCCCCGCGGCATCAGTGGATGGAGCCACAGCCGTCACCGGCACTGCCACACCTGACACCGTCTGCATGCTGTCGATTGTGTAGGGGGTCTTGGACTGGTAAGCAAGAAGGCCTTCTCGCAGGAGGCAAAAACCAGGTCCCAAGTTCGCTTCCACCAGGAAAGAAGCGAGGACCGGGACCTGCCTGTCCAGCTCTTCCCAGCTTTACGCGCCTCGAGCTGAGTGCATTGGGTGCATTGAGTGCCCAGTGCTACTCCCAGTGCCCAGAAACCATCCAGGGCGCCGCAAGAGGGACTGTTCTGCACCTGAGCAAACCACGCCAACAGCTGGTCCCAAGTTCGCTTCTGGCCCTGGCGAATGTTATGCAAGCAGACAGACCACTGCAGCGTGATACATTGAGCCTGACCCCGTGCAGCCGTCGGCTTGGATGTCAGAAAGCCTTCATCTCAGACATACCTGGATCAGCTTTCAGCAGCTCGCCATTGATCCTGCCCGCCGTCGAGAGTTCTGCAATCCCTCAAACCCCCAGCTCGAGTGCCGACGGAGCCAGACGCGGTGCCACAACATTTGCACTCAAGAGCAGCACCCCGCCTCCGGTTCGCCGCTGGAGGAGTTCGACAGGCAGAGACAGACGGGTACAAGAGCCAAACGAGCTATGAGTCCCCAACCGCTCGCTTGCAAGGACGATGCTGCGGAGTGAAGCGTACAGGCCCGTTGCGTAACGTCACGCTTACAACCGCGTCGTCACATTGTTGGCAGCTTGCAATTCGGCAATGGCCCGGGCTCCTGACGCTGGCAGAGGCAGAGAGGTTTTGTCCCCAATTTCGCATCTTTGAGGAGTGGAGCGGCAGAGAAGCGGTAGGATCCGCACTTGCAGCCTCTTGCTTCGATGTCTTCGGCACGCGAAGGAAAGCGCTAAACCATGAAGGAACTGCTGGCTTGACATCCTCGTCGCGATTGCAGCAGTTGCACGCAAGCAGCAAGGTGCAGCACTATGATTCTTATTGTTATTGCTACCACGACGATCATGCTGATGGTGCTGCAGGATCAGGATGACGAGAATGTGGAAAATTGCCGTGTCAGGAGTATGATGACGATCATTGTATGGGCATTCTGTTGTCGGTGTTGTTCTCGTCCTCTCTCTAAGCTCCTGCATATCCGTCTGCGGGTCGTCCCTAGGGTCGCGATTTCAAGTCATGACCCGAACTTCCTAGATCCTGTTTTCGCTGCCCTCCCCTGCTCTGGCTGCGCACAGAAAACAGTGGAAAGTCGGGGAAGGTTGTCAAACCAGCATGCAGAGTGGAATGCCAGGTAGGTCAACACATGAGGGAAAGAGGCAAGCTGGAGAGACAAGCTTTCGGGGCAACAGTGCGGAAGAAGTAGCGCGTTCAACAATGGCACTGCTACATCCAGGCAAAAACTCAGCAAGATCTCGCGCCGGCGTTTCTCATGCCTTCGCAGGAATTCCTTCCTGTCCAGGCCACCCCTTCCAATCGAGACTGTGCGGACTCTCGAACGAGCAAAGCAAGCATGAGTCGAATGGTTTGCCCGCGAACCGAGGACCCCCTTGAAATAGCCAATATCCCTGGAATACGACACAGGTTGTTTTTTTCCTGGGCAGATGTTGGGTTGATCAAATGTGGGTTAAAATGAAGAACTTCCCGCCCTCGCAGGCTTACGTACTTGTACCTTATACTTACTCTTACTTGTTGATGCATTCAAGTTCTATTGTCAAAGCTAATGTTTCCAATTCCTGTTGCTATTGCTTTTGTTGTTTCTGTTGTGGTCTTAAGCGTTCCTGCCATTTTGTTCGACTCCTCTTGGAAAGGTACCTTGACCCAACTTTGACCATGCTCGCCTGCAGAAACCTGAAGACAGGCGTACGCCGTGCGATCAACCTGGCCGTCTTCAGCATCTTTAACACCCACTTCGCTTCAGAACGCTACATCGTGGCACTCGTTCGGACGGAGGATGGACAGTCCCACCAGAAAACAGGGTTTAGGACATTACTTCCATGGTCAAGAGTTTTGGATTCAGGGATATGCAGAATTTTGGGATGTTCGGACGTAGTGCTAGGGTGAGTGCAAAGGGGGTGTAGGGACAGTCGATTCATGCGAGTGTTTGCTGATAATCTCGTTTCTTATATAGTTTCTTGGGAGCGTCGAGTTAAGGGTTCTCAAGCCAGAGTTCCGGAAGCTTGGAGGAGAGGATCAAGAAGCTGGAGCTGTATCTCAAGGCCAGCGGGGTGGCGCTGCTGTACTGGATGTACTGGTCACGTTTTAGGTAAATAGCACATCAACTCTACAGACAGTACAAAAGCACAGCCTCGATACGACGCCAACAGAAGCGGCTGCTTCTGAGCGCCTGCAGATGGGTTGGGCATGGTCACGGCGGACACGGCTTGGCCCAGCTTAGGACCCCATAACTTTCGGCCTCGCCTCGGTCGCCCTTCTTCCTGCTCTCCTTTTCATTTCAGGAGTGCTTGCATCCGTTTGTCTTGCCGGGACCGCCACAACGGCGGCGGATAGCCAGACAAGCTTGGCCTTTCTGGATGAAGGCTGGCGAGGGAATCACAGATGCTCAAGCCTAAACCCGAATCATGAGCACGTTGCCCTGTAAAGCATTAACCGCTTAACCTTACAAATCTGAATGCCAACCTCTGAACAGTCTTGTTTTGGGCATTCCACGCTTTAGAAACGGCTCTCAGATCCTGCGATCCCGGTAGGTATGGAAGAGGATAATCAAAGGCAATGGCACTGCGCGGAATTTGGTCACTGCTTCGTGGGTTCAAGCGGTGGCTCGGGTTTGAAACGAGCAGAACACCCGAATACGAATCATGTGAAGCTTGAAGGTGTTTTGATGTTTGCCGTTTTCATGCGGAGACTGACATTAAAGCTTAAACCTCGGACCCTAGCACCCTCCTCAAACCAAGAGATCAAGAATCCGCGCCCTCGGGCAATTGTAAAAATGCACCCAGAGCTGTAGCAGGAATGCCGGTCGTGGTGAGAATGTTCGGCTTCACATGTTAACTACCCTCACTAGGTTACGAAACGAGGCAAGAGGTCTTGAACTTCGAACACGGCAGGACCCGAGCTGGGTGCTGCGGTTGTCGTCCTCGAAGCAGTGGCGCAATCCGTGGCAGTGCCGAGAGCAGAATTCCTGTTCCAGGTGCTCCTAAGCCGGGAGCGCAGTGAGTGGAGGACTCCGAGAATCGGCCTTCACGTCTGAGCAGGCCAAGGAGCCAATAAATCTGTCACGCCGTTTGTGGGCAATCAACATCAAGGGACTGTAAACAGAGGGTTTTTGCGAAGGAGCACACCAACGTTGGCTCCGATGTTCGTACTGTTCACGATCACTGTCGCAATCATTGTCCGGTGCTGATCTGGCCTAAGGAGGCCACCTCATCCCAAGGATTCGTGGTCGGCCTGCCTGTTCTAAGCTAGATAGGCTGTTCAAGCAGGGCACTCAAGCAACCAGCACGACGATATGCAGAGCCTTCCCGTAGAAGACCCTTGATCGATACACCCAACCCAGCAACAAGGAGGCAGCACTGTGATGTAGAGTCGGTAGGCCCTAAGCCTGATGCTCGCATGTCCGTGGCCTGGCTGTTGCTCTGCTGCTGGAGCATGGCTCGAGGAGAGTGGAGCCGCTTGACGGACCTGGCGGACGCCGGCCTTGTCCGCCCCGCGGCACGGTCCGAGCACGTTGCAGCCTGGGACGAAGTTAATCAGGTGCTGCTGATCCATGGAGGAAGCAACCTGGAAGGCGACTTGTGGGCTTTCGACGCCGCATCGGAAGCGTGGACCCGCACGGTGACGGCCGTGGCGCCGGCAGCTCGTGCTGCACACGCAGCTGGCTGGGATCCTGCCAATCATGCACTTTGGGTGCATGGCGGGCACAACAGCCAAGCAAAGACTTGGTTTCGGGATGTGTGGAGATTTCAGTCTGGAGCCTGGACGCTCGAGTTTGACGGTGCAGGGCCTTCCGGAAGGCAAGCACATGTGGCTGTTTGGGTTTCGAGCACTTCCTCTCTTTGGGTGCATGGCGGCTGGACCGGCAGTCGCCGCTTGTCAGACTTGTGGAGCTACAATCACCTGGCTCACGGATGGCAGGAGCTGGCTCCCGGCACTTTCGGCGCGGTGCCATCGGCACGCTCGCATCATGTTGCAGTGTGGGATGGGACCGGCCAGGCGCTCTGGATGCACGGAGGCTACGGTGACTCCTTGCTCGGAGATCTGTGGACTCTGGATGCTTCCAGCCTAACATGGACTGAAGTGGTCTCTGATGGAGGCCCATCCGCGAGGTCAGGCCATGCTGCGGTGTGGGATGACGCAGGCCGCAGGCTTTGGCTGCACGGTGGCAACGACGGCTTTCTGAAGCGGGAACTCTGGAGATACGAGTCCGGCAGCAACATCTGGATCCTGGTTGCAGAGCACGCTGGTCCTTCAGGACGCTGGTCTCATGCAGCGTCCTGGGACGGCCTTAACCAGATCATCTACGTTCACGGAGGCTACAATAGCAGTTTGTGTGGAGACCTCTGGAGGTTCTGGGTCACAACAACGTCCACGACATCCACCGCAAGTTCCACCTCCACTTCAAGCAGCATCTCAACCACACGGAGCACCTCCACAACACGGACCAGTAGCACCAGCGCCACATTGACCACAACATCCAGCAGCTCGAGCCACAGTTCCAGCTCAAGCAGCAACTCGCACACAAGTAGTAGCTCCAGCAGCAGCACCTTCAGCTCTACAACCTCCATCAGCAGTACCTCAACCACCGAGACGTGGAGCAGCAGCACATCAAGCACCTCTAAGTCAAGTAGCAGCACAAGCACATCCAGCTCTAGCAGCAGCCTGACTACCACCTGGAGCAGTTCCACCACTCACACATCCAGTTCCAGCAGCACGTCTAGCGGGACCAGTAGTTCCAGCAGTGTCACTAGCAGCTCGATCACATCTTCGCTTAGCACCTCAACAACATTAACATCTAGCACGAGCATGTCAAGCACCTCCAGCGTAACCAGCAGCTTCAGCACAAGCACAACAAGCACATCCAGTTCCAGCAGCAGTACCAGTGATTCGACCAGTTCCAGCACCATTTCGCGGACGAGCAGCAGCTCTACGAGCGTGAGTACGAGTTCCACGACATCCGTCAGCAGCACTTCGACAAGCGGAACATCTAGCACAAGCATGTCCAGCACGTCTAGCTCCATGAGTAGCACCAGCACGTCTGCTTCCAGCAGCAGCACTAGTCAGAGCAGCAGTTCCAGCAGCAGCAGCAGTAGTTCCACAACATCGCTCACCAGCACTTCCACAACTAGGACTCGAAGCACGAGCATCTCAACCACTCTGAGCTCATCAACCAGCATGACCAGCACCCTCACTCTCACGTCAAGCACCTCGAGCACCAGGACCTCAAGCAGCACTTCAGCGACGGACACGACTTCCACGGAGACATCCAGCACACAGACTACAGTCACATCCAGCTCTTCCACTATGACCACAATCACAACCACTACCACGACGCAGCTCGTCATCGCAAGCCCTCTTCCCGAGAGTGTTCTGCTTGCTGTTTTGATTGCTATCCTTCAAGCATCTTGTGCGCTGTGCTTCTCGTACATGCTCTATCGTGCCTTCGTTCTGGTGGCCATTCCATTCGGGTCTCGTGCATGGCAGCTGTGGGAGCTGCAACCATCCGAGCCGCCGGACAGAAAGGGACAGCAATCCCCAGCTCCTGTGTTTCGTGTTCTACCCCCTCGCCACGGGTCACCTTGCCCGCCTTTGGTGGTGCTGGTCCACTTCCAGGGTGCTTCGCCCGTCACTCCAAGAGTGTGGCTGATGCCGCCTTCAGCGGCAGCGGCAGTGTTGCCCGCACAAGCCAAGCCCCAACAGCGCAGGGATTCGCAGCCATCGCCGATGCTGCCTGCAGCCACTGCACTTCGAGGCCAGCGATCCAGCGACCGGTTGTCTAGCCATGAAGAAGAGGACCTGTCCAGGCATCCCGTATCGCAAGCAAGAATTCCAAGGGTGCCCCCTCCCAGCTTCGCCAGGTTGGAATCTGGAACACGCCCCCCTCGTTCCATCTATCGCCCTAGCACAGATCCACTCATTCCCCGGCCCTGCCAGCCCTGCCAGTCGCGAGTGCAGTTGACGCCCAAGCAACCACGAGAATGGCCTCCGCCGACGCAGTGCGTGCAGAGACGGCTGTCCGAAGAGACTGGGAAGCCATGCAAACTGCCACTAAATCCCAAGCCTTTGGTCATGCGTCCGTTGGTGACGCGGAAGCCTCAAGTGGTCCATTCGGCGCAGAGTTTGCCAGCTAGGGAGATCAAGCAGGGACATCACAGCCCGCCGGCTCTCAGCATTGCCTACTTGGAACCCGCCAGCAGAAGCCGAAGCAGCCGACCGAGCCAAGGGCCTCTAATTGCCCCTTATGCACCGCCCACCGAGCCGCGTCTTCAGCTGGTGCCGAAGTCACGCCTGTTTCTTCAGATGGCCAAAGTGCAATCGATATGGCTAATACCGGACAGGAGGTTCTCGGATCTGCGAGGATCGATCTTATCCCCGCGCAGCCGCACGCTCGGATCGCGACAGCAAGAGCCGTTCCCTGCAGCCCACGACAAGCGTGTATACCGCAAGGCAAGCAAAGGTCCCAAGAGCCCGCGCTCACCGAAGCTTGGACTGGATGTTCAAGTTGGCTGTTCGGCCAACAGAATTTGTATGAGCCCGAAATCAACTGTTCTGATCCTCTTAAATAAGAAGCACAGTGCATCTTGGAGCTTTAATGCTCCGCGACTCCAGCGAAGACTGTCAAAGGCAAGATCTGCAATCCGAAGTTGAACCTAAATACTGTCAAATACTCAAATAGTACTAGACACATCAAGACTATCGAGGTGTGTTCGAGTAGCTAGAAAGAAGCTGTGTAGAGCGTCGACAAAAAAACCCAAAGCAAGGATTGGCCGGCATGCACGGCCCCACTCTGCCAGCCCTGCGCGGGTCAATGGCAGTCCGGCCTGGGGTGCACTGCAAGGCACCGGGCACCGGGCAGCACTTTTCTTGGTTTCTTTGTGATCTCACTGTGCTTTGAGAGGCCGACGCAGTTCCAAACATGGACACCCTGGTGATGCGACTCCAGGACCGGGCAGCTATGATCTGGAGCCGGCTTTGGACCGGTGCCTTGGTCGTCGTAGCTGCGTTCCTCTTGCTCTTGCCGACCTGATGTGCGTGCTTTAAACGATCAGAAAAATCCCGCCAGTTGCAAAAGCGGCCTGCCAGGTACCATTGCCAGTAAGACGCACCCGTAATTTTCTACATCTACATGCCACTTTGGCCCCAAGTAGTCCAAGTCCTGACACTGCGGAAGTATGTGAACCGTATGAATGACGGCATTTGCAATATTGCTACTATGCGGAATTCTGGTGTTGCTTGCACTATTGGCGTTGCCAAGTCCTCTAGCATTTAAAATGTATTGCTGCTAACAGTGCCAGGGCTTTCATCACTACAGTCATTCTCATCGAACCAAATCCAGCTGCTTGCCTCGTTGCAACCTATAAGCGTCGACTAAAAGGTGGTGATGTTTCATAGTACGTTGGTAGTAGTGTTGTTGCAGCGCCAGCATTCATTTTGATCTACCCGAAAGCAATATCAAGGTACATTCCGCGGCAGGACAGGCAGCAGGACAAGCGCGCCAAGATGGAGCCCTACAAAGACCGTTACAAGTCTCTCTCCAAAGCACTCAGCAAGGGCACGAGCTCCGACCCGAGCCTGGAGGACTCATCCACACAGTCCTTCATCTGGCCTTTCAACATCCTGGGTTGAAGGCTGTGCTTTCCAAGGTGTAGCTAGGATCACGGTGTCATGGAAGGCTCAAGATGAGCCCAGGGCATCAGCTCAGACCAAAGGTGTCTGCAGAATCATTCGCTCTTTGACCGCCCCTTAGCGAATCGGGAAGCGACACTGGGCCAACACGTATTGTGCTTGCGCAGTGCATGCTTCCTCTCCGGTACATGTTGCCCGCGCAGATGTTGAAGGGGTTGTTACGGAAGCGGAGGTCTGCTTTGCAGTTTTGAGTTTCGAACGACGGCCGACGGTCGTGTTGGGGCTTCGGGCGACCGTGGCCAACCGAACGCTCATGATCCACTTGGGTGCCGATAAGGGTGTTTACAATATCTTAGTGAGAGCAACATCCTTGTATTCAAAACTGAACCGCAGCATGTTTCCAGAAGCCTGTAGAACAAAGTGTTGAATTCCCGAACGAGATAGGCCGCAGTCGTTCACTGCACCAGCTTTGCGTCATTGCATAACCCAGCTCTTTGATATCAACTTCCTTTGTCCTTATGCCTGCATGTCAACTCTGCTGCGCTTCTGTTGCTGCTGGAGCATGGCTCGAGGAGAGTGGAGCCGCTTGACGGACCTGGCGGACGCCGGCCTTGTCCGCCCTGCGGCACGGTCCGAGCACGTTGCAGCCTGGGACGAAGTTAATCAGGTGCTGCTGATCCATGGAGGAAGCAACCTGGAAGGCGACTTGTGGGCTTTCGACGCCGCATCGGAAGCGTGGACCCGCACGGTGACGGCCGTGGCGCCGGCAGCTCGTGCTGCACACGCAGCTGCCTGGGATCCTGCCAATCATGCACTTTGGGTGCATGGCGGGCACAACAGCCAAGCAAAGACTTGGTTTCGGGATGTGTGGAGATTTCAGTCTGGAGCCTGGACGCTCGAGTTTGACGGTGCAGGGCCTTCCGGAAGGCAAGCACATGTGGCTGTTTGGGTTTCGAGCACTTCCTCTCTTTGGGTGCATGGCGGCTGGACCGGCAGTCGCCGCTTGTCAGACTTGTGGAGCTACAATCACCTGGCTCACGGATGGCAGGAGCTGGCTCCCGGCACTTTCGGCGCGGTGCCATCGGCACGCTCGCATCATGTTGCAGTGTGGGATGGGACCGGCCAGGCGCTCTGGATGCACGGAGGCTACGGTGACTCCTTGCTCGGAGATCTGTGGACTCTGGATATCTTGGCTCTTAGTTGGAGAAAGCTTCGTTTTCATGGAGGCCCGACAGCGAGGTCTGGCCATGCAGCAGCATGGGATGATTTAACATGTGGGCTTTGGCTGCACGGCGGTAACGACGGCATCCTGAAACGAGACCTTTGGAGATACGATCCGGAGAGCAACATCTGGAGTCTGATTGCTGAGCAGGCAGGCCCGTCGGGACGCTGGTCACACGTGGCTGCCTGGGACGACCTCAACCACGTCATCTACATTCATGGAGGATACAATGGAGGCCTTTGTGGAGACCTCTGGTCGTTTTGGGTCACCACGACCTCGACGACGCAGACAGCGAGCTCTACATCCAGTTCAAGCAGCCAGACCTCCACTTCAAGCAGCATTTCGCGGACGAGCAGCAGTTCCAGCAGTAGCAGCAGCAGCTCCACAAGCTCCGCCAGCAGTACCTCCACAACTGCGACGTCTAGTACCAGTGCATCCAGCAGCTCAAGCTCAACCAGCAGTACGAGCACGTCCCTGACGAGCACCTCGAGCTCCAGAAGCAGCACTAGTCACACCTCCAGTTCCAGCAGCATCTCGCAAACTAGCAGCAGTTCCAGCAGCAGCACCACCACCTCCGGGACATCCACCACGGGCACATCCAGCACAAGCATGTCAACGACCTCCAGTTCAACCAGCAGCAGCTCCAGCAGCCGAACGTCAACTAGCAGCGCGTCTGGCACCAATACCTCGAGCAGCACATCACTAACAGGCACAACATCCACACACACATCCAGCACCGCCAGCACCATCACATCCAGCTCTTCCAGTGCAACCACGGTCACCACTACCACCACCACCAAGCTTGTCATCGCTAGTCCTTGGCCGGATTGGCTTCTTCTCACCACTCTCGTTGTAACTCTGCTGGTATCTGGCACTGTGTGCAGCCTCTTCATGTTTTGCATGTACCGTTCCATTCTCGTGGCGGTAGTTCCTCGCATTTCTGAGAGACTGTGCTTGTCCGACTTGCAGCCTCAGAAACACCCGGACAGAAAAGAACAGCGACCGCCAGCTCCTGTGTTGGCGATCCCTGCACCCCATTCTTGCAGATCGCCTTGCCCGCCTTTGGTGGTGCTGGTCCACTTCCAGGGCGCCTCGCCCGTCACTCCGAGGCTGAGACTCCTCCCAGAGTCGCAGGCAGCGCTTTTTCTTCCGCCGAACCAAGCGGTGCCACAGAAGATCAGAGAGCCACAGCCATCGCCAATGCTGCCGCCGCAGGCTGATCAGGAATCTGCGAGCTTCCGCCGTCCGTCCAGCGATTATATCTCAAGCCGGGAGCATGAAGACATGTCAAAGCATCCGCCAAGGCAAGAAAGGATACGGCCGGCACCCGCCATCAGCTTCACCAGGTTAGAGTCCCCTTCCAGGAGACTCACGCAGCGCCCTGCCATGCCACAGAACCCAGACCGGCTTGACCGGCGAGCCGCTTGTCACAGCCAACTTCATATGCAGCTGGTACCAGAGTCACAAGGATGGCCCTCAACGACGCAGACGCAGAGACGGCTGCCGAAAGAGCCCCAAATTGGCCGACTGCACTTGCCCCAGACACCTTTGCTGATACGTCAGTCATCCAGAGCGCGGCCAGAAGAGGTTCGCTCGCTATCCAGCCCGCTGCCACTGCGGGAGCTCAGGCAGGGACGGCCCAGTCCACCCGCGCTCAGCATGTACAGGCTAGTGCCGCCGGTTACCAAATGTTCTCAGCGCACTCCAAGTGCACCGCTGCCGCTGTTTCCCGTTTACCGCAGCCAGCCACGCCTGCAGCTCGTTCCCAGTACGAGTATGGTGCTGGCAAGCAACCGTCCTTTGTCGGATATTCCGCTTCTGAGGCATCCACAGGCCCTGAGCCCTGAAAGCCGCGCACGTGGCTCCCGGCAGCCCAAAGTAATTCAAGGAACCGAAGGATGTGTTCTCGATTCGTGCAGGGCCTCTGCAAGGCCGCACTCACCGAAGCTTGAATGATATTGGCACTTCAGTAAAGCTCCCAACCATCATCATCGGAATCACAGTCATATTTCTCATCCGTCATCATGAGCATTAATATCGTTATTGTAAGCATCATCCGTCTACACGAGCGGTCAGTCAACGGCAGCTCATCATCATCGTCATCCTCACAGTCAAAGCATGTCTCATCCGTTTACATTGCATCAACGGCATCTCACCATCATCATCACAGTCAGAAACGTAGTCAGTAGCCTGGATGGTTTGGAAATTGGTTGCGTCGACGATTGAGCAGGACCCTCGGGCCAAGGGATAGAAGCCCCCCCATGCCATTATAACAGCAAGCTTCAACATATCATTATGCTCCGCTCAATGCGAGGCTCCGCGCAATTCACGGCTGAATCCACATCGCAGTCGCGAGAATCCCAAAGCTTTGGTATTTCCCTCTGAGGCACATCGTTACACCTTCTGGCTCGCGCTCGGAGTGCCCCCTGACCGGCCTCCGACAGCGGCCACACTCGGCGAACCCTTCGCAGCGTTACTGCAGCTTGGCAAATTTAGTCCTCTCGCTTTTTCCATATCAGCCAAGCATGGTCATGTCATCGTCATTATTGGATCGTCTCGTGATTGAAACCGGTATAACGAGCTCAACCAACAGCAGTTCGGGCATTACCATCAAGGGCACAGATCGGTTTGAGGCTTTCCCTCGTTTCCTCGCCTTGATTTTGCAGACTGCCGAACGTGGCAGGCAAAGAACAGCCAAACCCACGGCCAGCCTATACATACCTGAACCACTACACTCAGACAGGAAATCAGTATAAGCTACTGCGGGTAGCTGCAGAGCTGAGCCAGATGCTGCACCTCGAAGTCAGCATGAGTTAACTGTTGCATCCTCAAGCTCTTGAATCTATCTATATATCTCGACAATGGCTTTAAGCCAGCACGCTCAGAAGCGCTAGTCTCGTCGCGAGGATTGCGAACCTTGCTGGAGAGATTGAGGGCTCCTGTCCCAAAAGTATGTGCCTGGAATCATGGGGTCTGTTGAGATTTGGTGAAAGTATACAAACATGTGTGCTTCTGGCAATTTCCAGTATGTTGCTCTTGGTCTCATTGGCCCTAGGATGATTTGGTCTGTGAGCCCTTGGATTTGGGAAATCATGAGTTCAGAACATGCACACCAGTGATGCTGAGGCCGTTCAGCTTCGAAAAGGACCACTGGCACACCGGGCCCCGGCAGCTACGACCCGGAGCCCGTAAGCTTCGACATGCATCTGGGCAATATAGAAAAACTGCTTTCAAGGTTCGCTTGTCGAGGCATGTAGAGGCAAGTTGTGACTTCCGCAACACGCGAGGTACATGCCACAGCACACGAGGCAAGAGAAGCGAGCCAGAATGGAGCCCTACAAAGATCTCTACAAATCCGTTACCAAAGCCGAGAGCCGCGGGAGTTCCCACCAGAGCCTGGAAACTTGTTCTACGCAATCCATCTTCTGGCCTTCCGGCACATTGGATTAGCGTGGCAGTTTCATTGCATGACAAGTTGTTCCTCTTCAGTTGTGAAGCTATGTGCACGGTGAAGGCAACTACAATCATGCTTTCATTTAGAGCAACCTCCGATGCCCACATCTGCTGGGATTTCGGCCGGCGCGGCAAGACTAACTACGGCGTCACAAATCCTCGAACAGGCCAAAGCTGCCTGTCAAGCTCACCTGGGCATTTGTGGCGGATAGCATGCCAAAAGGAGAGCCGAGAACGCTGGAGCATCAATCGCAGCGATTAATTAAGAGCAAGAGGAATAATGATCATAGACTCCGTGCAGAGGCCATACAGGTACGACAAACGCTCGCGCGAGAAGGATTTAATGTAGTAAGGCCATCAAACGCGAAATCATGACAAGATTCCTTACACACGAAGAATAGCAGGGACATCTTCACCATTCCGGCATGGATGGTGTTCATTGCATCACACACAGTAAAAGAAAGGTGGTCGACAATGAGTGCGCTCATTGATGCCCGTGTGGAGTGAGAAGTGCGAAACAGCAGGGTGACACACGCAGTAAAAACTCATGAATTTACATATTGACCATATTGGGCAGCCTGGGCCTAAGCGCCTCAATTACTTAACACGCAGTTTCTCAATGAGAATTTTCACTAGTAGTACTCTTGGACTTGTAGTGGCACAACGGCTAAAACATGATAATCGAACAGCTAATCAAGAAAGCTACCAACAAGAGCCGAGTACAGCGGTAATGGTAGTGTAAGTGGTAGGGGTAGTGGAAGCAGTCGTAGTAGTAGTGGTAGCAGCAGCAGTAGTAGTAGTAGCAGTAGGAGCAGTGAAAGCAGTCGTGGTCGTAGCAGCAGCAGTTGAACTGGTGCTAGAACTAGAACTAGAGCTGGAGCAAGAACTAGGACTCGAACTCGAACTTGTACTCGTAATCGTACTAGTGGCTAGTCTTAGCAGTAGCGGTAGCAGTAGCACTGGCAGTAGCAGTAGCAGCAGAAGGAGAAGGAGTAACTGGAGTGGTGATGGCGATGGTGGTTTAATTGTGGTAAGTCCTTCTGGAGGTGGTACGGACTGGGAAGCAGTATCGTTGTAGCAGAAGTTGACGTAATTTGGGTAGTCAAAAAGGCAAAAAGACGAAGAAGATAGCACCTTTGCTAAGAAGGGTTGGAATAGTCGTCCCATACATTGCGGGCCGTGAGCAGAGTATTTTCTGCGACATATCGAACACGAGCCCACCAAGAAGGGAGTAATTACCCGCTACTCCGAAGCGTCCTGCTGGAAGAAACGTGTACAGTCAGACGTGCTTGAATATTGCCTTTCCGTCGACCCGCCTCATCTCGGCCGCACATGCTATGTTCTGCGAGGCAGGTATTGCAGTAGCATACATAGTTGCACGGTTCCTCGCCGTCGCGCCCAATCCCCGTCCATGCCTTCGCTTCAAAGTCAGAAATTCGTTCGGTAAATGTGTTCTTTGTTATTGAGGGTCAGAATCGGGGATTGCACGAGGAGTTCACTTAGCGTGGTTAGGCCTTCACTTTGGCTGGAATAGTTCAGGATACATCATGAGGACTCGTGCTGTTCGGGTCAGCATGCCCATTGGTCAATTGTTTGAAAACTGCTATGCCATGGGCAGTTCGTTCTGACATGCTAGCTGCACAGCCGAATGCTTGTGCCGCCAATGTTTTGGATCCAAGGGGATCACCTCATCCGAAGGATTGGTGATTTGAAGCGTACTCCTAGCTTGGATTGTTGATGGGAGGACATGAAAAGTGCAATCACACGAGTTCTCGGACAAGGCGTTCTTCTTAGAGATGCAATTTCCCTTTTAGCAATCTCCGACTCACCGGCGGCTTGCTTCTAAGTTTTAGGATTTGCTGACATCATCATTCATGCCAACATATGCTATCTCCCAGCTGCTTTTCCTATGCTGGTGCTGGAGAGTTCGAGGAGAATGGGGTCGATTGGCGGACCTGACAGATGCCGCCGGCCATGTCCGCCCGGCGGCACGGTCGGAACACATCGGTGCTTGGGACGAATCCAGGCAGGTGCTGCAGATCCATGCGGGAAGCAACCTGGAAGGCGACTTGTGGGCCTTCGACGTGGCGTCTGCTACATGGACTAGGACAATCACGGCCGAAGTTCCAGCAGCCCGCTCTGCGCATGCTGCTGGCTGGGATCCCGCTGGCCAAAGCCTTTGGGTACATGGCGGATACAACAGCCAAACAAAAGTGTGGTTTCGGGACATCTGGAGGTTTCAGTCCGGGCTGTGGACACTTGAATCCAACGATGCTGGACCCTGTGGGAGGCAAGCACATGTTGCAGTTTGGGTTGCCAGCACGTCATCTCTTTGGGTTCATGGCGGCTGGACTGGTACTCACCGCTTGTCGGATTTGTGGAGCTACAACCAGCAGGCCCATGGGTGGCAGGAGTTAGCACCGCTGTCACCCAGCGGGGCGCCACCGGCACGATCGCACCACATTGCCGTTTGGGATGGGACGAACCAGGTGCTGTGGATGCACGGTGGCTACAACAGTTCGCTGCTGGGGGACTTGTGGACTCTTGACGCAACGACGCTCAGCTGGGCAGAAATTCAGTCTGACGGGGGCCCCACGGCGAGGTCAGGACATGCAGCAGTGTGGGATGTCGAGAGTCAGCTGCTGTGGCTGCACGGCGGTAACGACGGCATCCTGAAACGAGACCTTTGGAGATACGATCCGGAGAGCAACATCTGGAGTCTGATTGCTGAGCAGGCAGGCCCGTCGGGACGCTGGTCACACGTGGCTGCCTGGGACGACCTCAACCACGTCATCTACATCCATGGAGGATACAATGGAAGCCTTTGTGGAGACCTTTGGTCGTTTTGGGTCACCACGACCTCGACGACGCAGACAGCGAGCTCTACATCCAGTTCAAGCAGCCAGACCTCCACTTCAAGCAGCATCTCGCGGACGAGCAGCAGTTCCAGCAGTAGCAGCAGCAGCTCCACAAGCTCCGCCAGCAGTACCTCAACAACTGCGACGTCTAGTACCAGTGCATCCAGCAGCTCAAGCTCAACCAGCAGTACGAGCACGTCCCTGACGAGCACCTCGAGCTCCAGAAGCAGCACTAGTCACACCTCCAGTTCCAGCAGCATCTCGCAAACTAGCAGCAGTTCCAGCAGCAGCACCACCACCTCCGGGACATCCACCACGGGCACATCCAGCACAAGCATGTCAACGACCTCCAGTTCAACCAGCAGCAGCTCCAGCAGCCGAACATCCAGCAGCACCGGCAGCACGACGGTAACCTTGACATCCAGCACATCTTTCACACAAACTATCAGCACCACCTCGGCAACAAGCACAAGCAGAACTTTCAGCACGGTGACGTTCACTTCAAGTAGCACCACGACGGCTACAACCACCACCACTACACAGTTTGTTGTATTCTCTCCTTGGCCAGATTGGCTTCTAGCGGTCATCATCGGGGCCATTCTTTTGATGTCTGCTACCGTATGCACTTTCTCTGCTCTTGAAGCGATCCACCCCTTCATTTCTTTTCCACCTCCCTTGGAGCCAAGGCCGTCGGCGGCCCCAGAGAGAAAGGGAGGGCATCGAAGCAGTCCCGTTTCTCCCGTGTTTCCACGGCTTCTTGGTTCCAGATCGCCATGTGCTCCTCTGGTGGTTCTGGTTCACTTCCAGGGTGCCACTCGGGTCACTCCGAGGATCTGCTTGGTTCCAGAGTCAACGGCGCTCCAGCATCTCCAGCCACAGGCGACGCGAAACGAGCCAAGGGAGCCACAGGCAACACCCAAGCTGCTGCTACCTGCAAGCTTCCTCCAGCGGCATTCGAGCAAAACTTTGCCGGATTTGCTGTTCAATTCAAGCCCGCAAGATGTCATATCCTTTGCACCTTCCCCGGCACCAGCTCCCAGCTTTGCCAGCTTCCAGAGCAGGCAAACCCAGCATGCCCAGCACCTGCGTATCCGAGTTAGGTTGCAGACCGAGTGTCCAAAGCAAAGCAGCTCCAGTCAGGCTTGCCGCAGTTGGCCCCGTGTGGAGCTCGTGCGAGAGCCGCCAGCATGGCCCACGGCATGTCTCTCCCGAAGAGACACCCAGCCGTGCCAGGAACCCAGTATGCTTCCGCCATTGCCACGCCCAAGTGCACATGCACCGTGCTACATGTGCCACGTTGTGCAGGGACAGGACCAATATCTCCCATTCCTACCGCCGAATGTCGGGCAAGATGGACACACACCACGACCGCCACCAGCGCCACGCCCGACCAGTCCCCCAGCCCTCAGCTTCATTCGGCTGGAGCCACCTGAGAATCGACCTCGCGGCCGGCCGAGGAGCCCAGTGAGCCCCGAGGCCCAGCCGACCGCAGCGCATGTGGCTCCCAGCCGACCACGCGTGGAGCTGGTCCCAAAGTCACGGGTAGTTTTAGTCACCAGCCGCCTCCCGCCGGACAGACCGTTGCCCGCTGAGCCACAGACTCTCAGCCCGAAGAGTCGCTGGCTCGGATTCTTGTTGGGGGGCCAACTCCAAGGACAGCAGCGTTTGCAAGCCCTGGGCGGCCCTGAGAGCCCTGACACTGCAACACAGCAACATCCCAACCCTGCCTCCAATGGCGGCTTCGATGGCCCAGTCACGACGGCCAATCGATCACACGCCGCTGCTTCACAACCTTCTTCTCAGTGTGCAAACAGCCCAGTCGATTCCAGCATTATGCAAGAGCACCTGCCCCACCCAGATTCCCCCACATCACACACCGACAGCAGAGTTGCTCGCACGCAGCACACCACTTTACCACAGCATGCCACTTTGCGACGTTCTCGAAGCGAACCCATGTGCCTCTGCATCTCTCCAACGACCCGGGTTCAACACCGCAGCACTACTCCGAATCATCAGTTGCTCTCGCAGCCCCCCTACAGCCCAGCTTCCACCCTGCAACCTTCTTTGCGGCTTGTTTCTCCCACATCGAACTCCACTACACATACCGCCCACTGCGCCCAGCGACCCAACACAGACAGTTGGATTCGGCCCGACAACGGGTCACCGGCATTTACATTTGGCCAGCAGCGCGCATCGCTCCCGTCGAGGATGCGATGTGGCGAGTCACCCGGGCCAGGTGCATATAACGCGGAGAAAATCAGCTTCGACCGCTACATGCCGCAAAGACTGGAGCAGTTCAACGACCGCAGACGGATCGCAAAAGAGTTCGTGGACAAACAGAAAAGGAAAAGGAAGCAGAGGGGAGGCTCACCGTGCAGTGGACATCAAAGTCAGCAGACCAAAGACATGTCTGCATGTTCACAGTGACGCCAGCCCACTGGTGGAAAAGACATCTTCACAGTTTCAGCGATGCTCCGTAGAACGAGGCATGCCGAAAGCAGGTGTAGTTACAACGATACTTGGCAAGCCACTGCTTCCGGAAGCCTTTTGGCTTTGCCGCCTTGCCAAATGCTCGCCAAATTCAGAGCCATGGGCCATGCTGTTGCGGCGACTCTTCCCAGTCACAACATGCTCGGCTGCGATGCTGCAAGAATGATTTTTCGGTGTTCTGCCAGCATCGGGTTCATCTACATTCCATGGATTGTATCTGACTGTTTGCAGGCCGCATGACCGGCTAAGCGAAGCACATGGAGGCCTGGCATTCCGACAGCTCGCTGAAGCCAACCTGCGTTCCAATCTTGCAGCTAAAGACAGCCCCAAAGAAGACTAGAAGTGCTAGGCACTGGCAGAGGCAACGATAGGAGAGAAGTGTATGAGTAGCGCCAATAAAGCTCCCATATCAGTGACGCATACATATGACTGCCGAGACTTCCATGACAGCACATTCCGTGCTGCAAATTTAGCTGCGAGCAAAGCCTTCAAAATCTATTGCAAGCATGTTCATATCGGTGCAATGCCCAACCCCCGGACTACCGAAACACCGCAGTTTCCAGCTTCACGACGCAGCTCGTTTCAATTGGGGAAGGGGGGGTAGCCTGAAAAGATGCATGAAGGCCCTCGATTGCGTGAATAGTGAAGATGCTTCTGGGGGGGCATGGCGGGCTTGAAACCCATAACCCTACTACTGAAGGCTTCTGGCTTCAGCTCGATGCTGTAATTTTGGCTTGTCAGGCTGGTGGGCGGGTGGGTCTTGGGTGGGTGGAGTGGGTTTGTTCTTCCGCAAGAAGTACGCGTCTCTCCTTGCTGCAAATCTTACAGCAGTCGTCCAAGTGCTTCATGTCATATCACAACATATCACAACGGTCTAACTATTTTCATCATGTGAACTTAACTTGTGACCCCTTGTTTCCGACTCATAGTCCCTGCCTTTGCTAACACCCTTGTTTGAGTGCGCCCGCTTGATAGACAAGTTGAGCAAGTCATGACCAGACAGGCCTGTTGTTGCAGTACAGTTGGTGAACATCTCATCGGATGAGTAATCCAGTCCTGCCAGTACTTCCATGCCATAACTGCAGGTCGCTGGACAACACATGTAGGAAACAGAGCTGGCAGGCCTTGTTTCCATGCCTCCCTAGACTACCTCCAGACCGTGTGCCCAGATGCCACCATTAGTTCCGCACGACCATGTCAACGTTTTCCGCCTACAGGCGGATTTCCGTCGCAATAAAGCAACGGCGCGGTTGGACGCATGATTCTGTCGGAATGCAGGGGATCGAGGCTGGGAAAGGTAGTAGCCCTCACAACTCGCAACCAGAACTTCACCAGAGGAGAGCTTCGGCCCATTCGCACTGCGAGCAACCAAGCACAGGACAGAGCTCTCGTCCCCAGGCACCGTGCTCACCGCGGCATGTGCTGTGCCGGAGGTACACAAGCTCACAGTTGTGTCAGAGGTGTCAGAGTTGCGTTGGGTGTGTTGTGGAATCGAGCTTTATCGCAGTGTTGGAAGGGTTGGGAGCATCAACAAGATTTCCTCTGTTAGAAGGGTTACGTATTACGTGCCCTGAACTCGACATCTCAAGTCCCGGGACGAGCCGTCCAAGCATGCTTGAAAGTGTCTGCCTGGCTTGTTCAGTCTGGTTCCGATCTTGCTGAGGGTAGGGGATGAGGCTCGGTGTTGAGGTTATGGAGTAGGATAAGAGAGTATGAGTAGGCTTTGAGAGGAAAGTTGAGGCTGGAGGTGTTGCATGTGGGGTGATGTAAGCAGGCTTTGACAGAAGTTGAGGCTGGGGCGAGATGTGTTGAGGCGGGGTTGGGGGCGGTCTCATTCGGCGCGAGGTAGGGTGCTAGCGGGGAGGCTTTCAGGCTCTGCAGGGCCGGCCCGCCAGGCTGAGTGCCAGCGTCAAGGTTCTGGTTACGCGTTTGGGCACAATGGGTTTTGTACTGTGCTGTCAAGCCTGTACGGGGCAGGTGCACCTGCTGACATTCTTGGTTGAGCCGTCCACAAGCGAGTCCCGGTCCTCTTAGAGATGCGCGCCTTGGCAACAGTTTCGGACTGTTGGGTCCTTGGCTTCGATTTCTAGGATTGCAGCATTTGCCGAGTTACGCGACAGGTTTCAGTACTTCTGTACTCCCACTCGACAGCTTAACTTGCATTGCTTTGCTGGGCCTACTGGCCTTGGAAATAACCTTTGTTTTGCTGCAAAGCTGATCAGAGCTGGATCTAGTCGGCTCAAGCCTTTCTTCAGCAGATGTTCCAGAGACGCGACTTGCATGCAAATAAGGTCTGATGACATTCGGACCCTTTCAAGGTCAAATTCATAGTGCAGTAGGCTGTCATGTAGGGTACAAACTGGAATCGGAATCGGCAAAGCTCCACCGCTAGACTCTGTTGATTTGGCACCAGCCCTACACTGCATAGCAGTCCTGCTTTGGCCAGATCCATTGAATTTCAGCATGCATTATCCAATCCGCGCTCAGCCTACCGCAATGGCAACAAACATAGCTTTTCAGGCCTTGCGGGGTTTGTGGCCTCGCAGCTATATATTATATGGAAGGAGGCAGAAGGCGATAACACAGTTGCACCAATCAGCTCTGGATGGCAGCAGGTGAGGTTCAAAAGCATTTGCATTATTTGGACGCTTTCCTCGCCCAGGGGTTTCAGACCCTGCAGCATTTGGATAAACTGCGGGTGCAGCTACAAGGAACAGAGACTACCGGATTGGTCGGTCTTGGGCCAGAAAAGGCAGGCAGGCTATTGGCAGCATGTGTAGCTGAGACATCCCTATTGAGTGCCCTGTACTGGGTCGTTTGTGCTTCCTCGCTGCTTGGCCGTGACATGCGAAGTCCTGAAAACCATGACTCCCTGGAACAAATCCTCAGTCTGATTCGCTCATGCCGGAGGGGTGGCAGTTTCGCCCCACATCCGCACCACGAGCCAGATTTACTCTCCACCGTCAGTGCAGTGCAGCTCGCAGTGATCTGCCGGAGACCAGAGATCTTGGAAGATGGTGCTGATGCCACACGCAGTTACATTCTTTCTCTGCAGCTGCCAGATGGATCGTTTACTTCTCGAATCGGGTCTGCAGAGGAAGGAGACTGTCGCTTTGTTTTCGCGGCTCTATGTGGCCTTTCCCTGCTGCCACGTCTGTGCACACAGAAGGGAGGCATGCTCGAAGAAGTCCTCGATGTAACGATGGTAGCTGAGTGGCTGCTGAGCTGCCAAAATCTCGATGGGGGTTTTGGCTGCAGGCCCAACGGCGACTGCGAGTCGCACGCGGGTCATACCTTCTGCTGCCTGGCAGGACTTACACTGTTGCAGAAAGCCTCCAGAGTAACACATCGGAGCAGGCGACGGTTAATCCGATGGCTCGGTAGTCGTCAGTGTGCCGGAGGCGGCTTAAATGGAAGGCCGGGGAAGCCACCGGATGCGTGTTACACGTGGTGGACCCTGGCAAGTGCCAAGTTGATACTGGCCGCAGAAGGCAGCATGCCTGCCACAACTCTTCCTGATTTGTTCGATCTTCCGGCTTTGCAAAACTTCTTGCAGCAGTGTGCAAGCAGTGCTGGGGGAGTGGCCCCCCATCCTGGTGATGACCCGGATCCTTTTCACACGTTCTTCGGATTATCAGGTTGGTCTCTGGCTGCCCACGCACAAGCAGATACGGCCACAACCTGGCTGCAGGAAATGCATTCTGCCCTCGTGTTGCCCTTGGGCTTGACGAGCGGTTAGGTGTTCCTGTTACATCCCTGTTATCTCAATCCGAGAACCCCGAAGCCGCGTGAGCTTCTGCGATGAGATCGGACAACAGACAGCTTCTTTTAGCGGAAGGATATGGGCCCTGCTGAAACAAAGTGTACAATTACCTCATGTAGTCGAATGACCTCAAGATGTGTCAGGGTGATTTGAGGTGCGATAGAAGGACAGCGGGTTCGGATAGACATCCAGTAGCCACGTCTGCGATGACTTGTTTTTGGACTGCACTTAGACTTGCAAACCTGTCTGCTTTCTGGGATTCTGGGAGTGTCAGAAAATGAGAGACTTCAATTTGGCCTTTGGACCGGGCTGCGCTGGGCGGGGCTGGATCTCATTCCACAAGTTTAGTAAAAACAAATCGAAACCAACGAAAGCACAACTCGAAGCGAAATCCACGCAATTTCTATTTATCCTGCTCTTGAGGGTTTAGGTTTGAGTCCCGGAGTTGCGAAGGTGTGTTTGCATCTTTCGTCCTGGACCCTCCACCCCAATCCCACACACTCCTCCACGCATGGTCTTTGATGGGTGATAGCTATAGTGTTGCTTGCAGGAATCCTTAACCTCAACTTAGGTGCAGGAGAAGCTTCCAATTTTTTCATCGAGAACCCTGATGGGCAGTGAACTCAGCGTTATCCAACTTGACTTTCGGAAGTTTCAGAGGTCGACAGAGCAATCCGGCTGTTTCTTCAAGAATCCTGTTGGTGCTGTACGTCACACACCGCTTCCTAGTGCAATTTTCGGTTACACCAGGTTCATGATGGAGCCTATCCGACGGCAACCTCTCTCCGTCCAACGCGAATCCTTTGGGAGTCTTGTGTTTGCTGGCGCATTCTACGGAATTGCTAGAACTGCTCTGCGCTCTGCCACTTCGGGATCCAACTAGAGTACTGATAACTGGACTGCTCCAGCTTGTGGACTCACGGCACAACAAAGCTGAAATTCGTCGTTCGTCGTCGTGGTCTGGAACAGTCAAAGAGTTCGCATAACGACAAAGGAGATGATGCGAGATTCCGAGAAAGCAGTGCTAGATAACACATGAGCATGCTTAGAAGAGGAACGGTACAATCCGCAATAGCAACACTGGTCAGGAACGAGAACAGTAACCACAGTTGTGCCAGTAAGCTCTTACCTGATACCTCGGGAGGCTGGTGAAGAGCATGTGGAGTTCCTCCAAGAGGCCGAAGGGGCCAGGAAGAAGGCAGGTCTGCAAATCTGTGATTTTCTTGACCGAAGCATTTCGCAGGCACGCCCGGTTCACAAGATCCTGACCCGACAGTCACCCCAATAAATCCGGAAGCCCGCAGCCCAGAACATGCACCGGCTTGGATATTTAGTGCAAGCATCTCCCTAAAATGGAACCCCGCAAGGACCCTAAGCGAAACCCTCCGCTTCGGGCAAATTGAGCCAGAGCGGAGCCGAGGGCCGAGGACAGTTTGCGGGCTTTAAATAAACATAAATTGGAGCGGTAAGTTCCGCGAGAGGTTTAAGTAAATTGGAGTGATAAGTTTCCGCGAGGGGTTTAAGTAAATTGGAGTGGTAAGTTTCCGCAAGGGGTTTAAGTAAATTGGAGTAGTAAGTTTCCGCGAGGGGTTTAAGTAAATTGGAGTGGTAAGTTTCCGCGAGGGGTTTAAGTAAATTGGATTGGTAAGTTTCCGCGGGGTTACGGTTTAGGGTTCGGTTTAGGGTTTAGGGTTTAGGGTTTAGGGGTTAGGGGTTTAGGGTTTAGGGTTTAGGGTTTAGGGTTTAGGGTTTAGGGTTTAGGGTTTAGGTTTAGTTTAGGGTTTAGGGTTTAGGGTTTAGGGTTTAGGGTTTAGGGTTTAGGGTTTGGGTTTCGGTTGAGAGAAGTGTGTGAGGGTTTGGCGTACGGAGTTTTGGCGGGGTTCGAGGGGTTTTGAGTGGGTTGTGCCTTTTGCTTATTTTGTGGCAGGTGGATTGGTTTTTTGCCTGCCCGGAGCCTTGCCATGGCCGTGCCCTGAACTGCTGTGCCCTGCGTGCTGCTGTGCCCTGCCGTGCCCTGCCCTGCCCTGCCTTGCCCCGACCCGTTTGCACTGCCCTGCCACGATAGAAGTTGTGTAGGGTTTGGGTACGGGGTTTTGGCGGGGTTTGCCGTCTTTGTGTAAGCATTTTTTTTTGGGCTGCCTGTGCCCTGCCCTCTCTTGCCCTGCTTCCCTGCCCTGCCCTGCCTGGGCCCGTTTGAACTGCCCTGCCACGTTGTCCCTCTTCTACCTAAAAAACGCACGATGATGCGACACATACGCACAGCATTCGAATCTCTTTAGCAGTGTAAGGCGCTGGCTTTGTTTGTATCGGGTATCGCGGCGATGGAGCTGCTTGTAACGGTCAGGGATCCATGGCTGGAGATTCGATTTTTTTCGAAAAGCTTGAGATGGCTGCGAAACATACATGGGATCTGCAATCGGGCCTTGGGGAAACGTTGCACATCTTGCAATGGATGCAATTGTAGATCTTGCAGTGGATGCACACGACTAAAGATGCAGATTTTCACTTGCAGGAGAACACACAGTCCGCACGGTGGCGAAGCTCTCCATGGCTTTGTACAGAGGGTCTAAACCTCACGGATGCAGTAGGTGCTGGGGTGGTGCCGGAGGTCGGCCAAGAAGGTGTCCACTGGGATGTGCTCCGGCGCGCGTGCCAACGAATCCAAGCGGAGGATGCCGTTGTTCAAGAACCGGTAAGCCACCCAGTGCAGGTTGTCCCGATTCTGCACAGCCCCTACAGCTCCCTGCAGCTCGCGCACGGTCGTCACGGGTCTCAAAGGCATCTCCCACATGACCCGATCGTACGTGTCCATGGCCTTCGACTGGAGTGCTTGAGCCAAGACTTCGGAGGAGTAGAAGCCATCTGGAGCCATGTGGTGCTGGATGTTTTCTCCACGTTCATGGCCACCTTCTTCAAGAAGAACGAGCACGGCCTTCTCCATGTCCTCCGGAGCGAAGTGCCTTGCCCCCAAGGCATTGTTCAGAGCATGCAGCCCGCAGAGGGCGCGCTGCTGCTGCTCGAAATAAGGCTCGGCCGGTTCTGCTGCTTCTCTTGGGGCGGTTGCTGCTGTTGGCGTGGCCGCGGTGCTGTTGCTGCAAGTGTCTTTGCGAAGATGCTTGGCCACCGGCACATGTGCCACGGCATTTTCGGCGGCTCGCTTACCCGTGCCAACAGTAGCTTGGCTCGGCGTTGCTGCGGCGCCGGCCACGGGCTTAGCCTTGCTCTTGGCTGAGCTTTTGGCCTTGGCTTTGGATTCGGGCTTGCACGGGCACGTCTTTCTGTGAGCCTGAACGGCAGCTTTGGTGTCGGGAGCTTCTTCGCCGCACAGCGGGCAGTGCCAGGGTCGGACGCCCTCCTCCGCATCCTCGCCGTGCCATGTCCCCAGCTTCGCGAAATCAGGCTTGCCCAGCTCCTGCAATCGCTTCGAGTAGACTTCCTTGCTCTGCGGAGGCTTGAACAAGGCACGCCAGAGGGGCGGACCATCCCTCTGCGCTTGCTGAAACTTCAACTTGTGCAGAGCCCACTCAGCGTTCTTGTTGAATCGCAAAGCCTTCGGGTTGAAGTGCTCCAGGGTGCACAAAGCCTGCTCGGGACAGCGGCTCAGGGCGACGTACGCTTGACCTTCCTGGGTGACCGTGTGGACCAAGCGTGCGTGGACTCCGTCGTGCATCGTGGCTGCCTGGCTCTTGTGGATGGTGATGGCTTTAGCGAGCACGAGCGGGAATTGACGTCTTTCCGCTTTGTTGCAGTCCTTGTCCACGTACGTGCCCGAGCGACGGAGAATGGCCACTGAGTTGGTGCCGTGCTCCGCTCGCCAAATGGTTCCGGCATTCTTTTCGAAGGCGACCCAGATCCTTTCCCCCTCTCCGCTGGTCTCGTCGATGTCGATGTGCTCCACGGCGCCGCAAGCCCCGTTAACCAAGCCATCCTCCACGTCGATGTTGTGCCGCAGCATAACACGCAAGCCGACCGAAAGCTGCAGCAAGGTCTCGAGTCCTCCAGTATCCTCTGGATCTGTCCAGATGGCTGCTGGGTCCAGCGGAGCTCCGGTCTTGACGTTGACGTCCACGGCCGGGCAATCGTGAAGCGTGGCGTCGGTTCTCTGTAGGTGCTCGGCTTTGTACTTGTCGTTGGCGTCTGCGACTGCTTTTCGGGTGGCGTACAGATTGACGGCCTTCGGGGCGGGCCGCTTCGAGCCTTGTTTCTTGACCACCATGCCGCGCAAGGTCTGGATGTCCGCCTCCGTCCAGTTCCCGACGCGGACCCTTGCGAGCAGAGCCGCCCAGGTCGGGTCCTTGGCTGCGCGCTGGTTGCCCTGGAGCTCGCACAGCTCGAAGAGAAGCCATAGCCAACTGGGGAAGGCTGGTAAGCCGCCGGGGGGTGGCAACTGGTACAGGTCTCCGGCGAAGACGATGTGGAGTCCTCCGAAAGGCAGGTGTGGAGCGTCTTTGGCGAGACGGAGGTGCTGGTCCAGTCGATCCAACATGAACGCGGAAACGAAGCTCATCTCGTCCACGAAGAGTGCCACCACCTTTGCCCAGATTGCTCGGAGGGAAGCCAGCTGGGGGCCGTTTGGAAGGGGTAGATCGCAGGCCTTGCCGTAGCTCTTGTTGACGACCGGGAGAAGGAGGCATGAGTGGAGGGTCACGCCGTTGATGTTCCAGGCCGCCACCCCCGTCGGCGCAGCGATCACCACTCCTTTGCCGTCTTGGCGGAGCATGTGAGCTGCTGCTCGCACCACAACCGACTTTCCGCCGCCCGGTCCATGAAGCAGCATTTTCAGTCGTCGGGTGCTCTCGCTGCTCTTGATGTTCGGGCAGCTCAGGACGGAGTTGACGATGTGCTCCATTGCCTGCCGTTGTCGCTCCGTTTCCGGGGTCGGGTTCTCCGTCGTCAGCATCTCAAAAGACTCTTCTCCGCCTTCCACAGGCGCGAAAGCGTTGCTGGCGGCTCCGGTGGGCACGGTGTCTGGGGCC